CCCTCCTTCCGACAAGCGCAGTCTGCTCTGATTGGCCAGCTGACCCAGTGCATTGTGATTGGCCGAACACCGCAAGCACGCGTCGGAAATGTAACTCCCCTTACCATAATCGCCAGCTTCATCTTTCAAAATAAATGTAAAGACAGTAAATAATGTCATTAGTTTTACCATCAGTTCAAGCCCGAAAGGGGAACAGACACAGTAATGATGCAGTACACAAGCTGCGGTTAAGACAGCTGACTCCACTGTGATGTGACGCTGTCTCTCTCTCTCTCTCACACACACACGCGTGTGCGCACACACACACACACACACACACATGAAAACTCCGCATTTGTCAATAGCAAATACTTAAACTAATAACAAAACAGTAGCTGATTCAGAAGCGCCAGATTGTCATAGCAAAGTCAGAATTACCTCCTCTCCTAGGTTCACGAAACGGTCGTCCATAAAATGCATTGCTGTTCTGTTGTAAGTAATCTTAAAGATTCCTAAATGCATCTACTTCCGGAAGGCCAAATAAAGTGCTTTGGCTTTCGTCTAGAAACACACAGCATCTCTCTGACATGCTGCTTCAACACTAACTGCGGTTACTGAAACCACGCCTTCTTTCTTTGCGTGAACATTTGGGCGCATTATGCAAATATTCCCACATCGTGACCTAGATATGTGGGGGCGTGTTAGAACTAGCCATTTTACGGGGGCGTGGCAGAGTCTTAACTTTGATAAAGAATATCTCTTTGGGTTTGTGACTTTAGTCTTTGCAACTTCAGGGATCTTAGCGATGCACAATCAGCTTGTAACACTCCAAAGAGAAAGGAAAACTTGAAATCGCATCATATGACCCCTTTAAATTCATTCAGCCACTTATTCAGTCACTTTTATGTGATATTAATTTTAACTGTAGAACATATAAAGAGATTATATTTAATAGGATGTTCATGCTGCTCTTTTCCATGCACGTGAATGAAAGTGAATGATGACCAGTGCCTGTTTAGTAAAATGTAAAAAAAAAAAAAAAAGCCCCACAAAGGTGCCATGAAAGTAGTCCATATGACAAACACTTTATTAAAAGTCCTGTGAAGTCATTGAATAGCTTTGTGTGTTTTGTATATAGTAACATTTGCAATGTCATGATCTGTTACAGGACACACAAGAATCAGTACTGCTTTACTGCTGTCTGACCTGACATGACAAATCTTGATGAGCCAAACAGTATTTGAATATGCAAATGTTAATAAGATTTGAGAGCTTTAGGGAATGAAGAGAAAATTGTTAGTGATTAACCGCTTATTTTAAAGTCTGTTCACACAAAGTTATCGTATGGCTTCAGAAAACTGTGGAATAGGCCTATAGCACATCTGTTTTGGAGCTTGACAGCTGTGGTCATCACTCATTTTCACTGAATCCATGCTTTTACTTTTGTGTTCTATAGAGAAAATAACATCATACAAGGTTTGGGACAAAATAACTGTGAGTAAAAGACAGACTTTTCATTTTGGGTGAATCCTCTTTACACCTCCACTAGCATGACCTACATCCGAGCCGCTCTCGGCTAACCTTTAAAAAAAAAACAAACAATGCAAATGCAATTTATCTCTTGCCACCTGCAGTGTGTGGAAATAAACAAATCTGTCCTCCGTAGCCAAATAAGAGCACATCTATTATTTCATGCTGCTCCACCTATACACAACTCACCGTATGTGTCCTGATAACACTGATGAACCGCCATGCAATGGAAAATACCTCTGTGAAGAAGCTCCTATGATTTCACATATTTCACATCAATCATCAGTGTTATTAAACTTTTACCAGTTAACCATTGAAACATGGTTGTGAGAGAACCATTACAATGACATTAAAACAATGCAAATGCAATTTATCTCTTGCCACCTGCAGTGCGTGGAAATAAACAAATCTGTCCTCCATAGCCAAATAAGAGCACATCTATTATTTCATGCTGCTCCACCTATACACAACTCACCGTATGTGTCCTGATAACACTGATGAACCGCCATGCAATGGAAAATACCTCTGTGAAGAAGCTCCTATGATTTCACATATTTCACATCAATCATCAGTGTTATTAAACTTTTACCAGTTAACCATTGAAACATGGTTGTGAGAGAACCATTACAATGACATTTTGTAAACTGAGCTGGCAGTCTCATATACACAGCAGAGATCGGGCATGCAGGGATGATGACTTAATCTCACTTTGGATGTGTTTGGTTGGCTGCTCCATTCTTATAGATGCAGTATGTCTAATAGGACTTGAAAATATCTAAGTGCTGTTTGTTTTATTGTTTTATTATTTCTAAGGATTTTGTAAAAAGAATTTTAACAGGAAAGTAAAGAAATGACAGTTACAAGCAAATTACATCAACAAAGGTTGTTCGTTTTGAGACAAAACAACCCCCACCCATAAATAAATAAATAGTTTGTCTGACCTACCAATAGTCGTTATTTTTGGTACATAATAATAATAAATTCCCTGAAATGCAGAATAAATGCTTTTCAGATTTCTTTAAATAAGTTAGGCCTGAGAAATAATGTTAAAATACCAGATCAGTTTATATTTTAATAATAATATTACAATATAACAACAACAACAACAACAACAACAATAAATGTTGTAAGCTGAAATGTATGCCAGTGCCTACATTCAACTGCTAAACACATCATCTACCAAAGGACTAAATAATCTAGGACTCAAAATTGCATTTAAACTAGGAAAAAACATCTTTATGCTTTTGTAAATGACTTAAAATGTGATCATGTGAAATTAATAATGCATATTTAAAATTCTGGACTATATGGAGACATAATAAATAGGGAATTCACATAATATTTCATATTTGTTTGTGATTAAAAAAAAAAAATACACAATCCTGAAACATGCAGATTTAATTCTCAGTTTTTAAATATTCATTATTATTATTTTTTTGCACTATTGTTGGTGTTTCTGAAAAATTCCCCAACCATAATGTAATTTAATGTTTCAGTGAAATAATACAATAAAATTATGTGACTGTGAATCATAAACCTACAAGTCCACATTTTCATGTACAAATTCAGTCATATCCGTGTATAATAAATGACTCATTTACTATATCACCCAGTTATGTTCTGCTTTATAACATTACATAAATAATTTTAAAAAGTGTTGGGCTCTGTCATTGTCTAATGCTTAATAATAGAGTGTGACTCAAAAACTTTGATTGAACCTTCCTTGCTTCAAACTTTTAATGATGCCCCCCTGTTTGTCTCATATCCCCAATGCTCCTGAAGCCAACTATGGCTAGATGCAAGAAATCTGTCATAATGAGCAAATTGAAACTGAAATGAAATTTTCAAACACAACAATAACAAGGACCTGAGGGCACAATTACTTTCCAAACTTCTTGTCATTCTTTAAGACTGAATAATAACCAGTGTTTGTTGAGTGACAGTAGTGTCAGGGTGCTGTTTTATTCAAGATGAACTCTTTCTTATGAAGCAAAAAGCAAAAAAACAAAATTAAAATAAATTCCTCTTGGCAGCGAGTAGATGAATGTTTTTGTTTCTGTACTGATTCGAGTGCAGTATGTAGTATACGATTGTGTCTCTCCCTTTCTATTTTGCTTTGTCTCCTCTTCCTCATTTGATTACCTTTGTGTTATGATACGTTTGTGGACAGTTTTTAGTAGTCAAACCTTTTGCTGCTTATTGGCTAATTAATTACTTTACCAGGATGGAAAATGGCCTGCATGACTTTGTCATAAGGGGGGATTTTTCACATATTCATTCATTTAATGAATTTAAATTTTCTTTGTGGTTTCAGATTTTGGACCCCACTGCATTTTTCAAAAGTAATATTCAAGATTTTATTTTATTTTATTTATTTTATGTTTAATTTAATTTAATTTAATTTAATAACAGCACATTATGTTACATCGGCAGCTAATCAGCAGTTTTATTTAGTGTTTCATATTGTGAATGCTTGTGTGTGTGTGTATTGGTGTTTAGATGCGCAAGTGTGTGTGGGTGTACATGCTTTAAGAATTACTGCCAAGTCACCACAAACTGTCCCCAAAGTCCTATGAGGGTATAAAGCAGTAAAGTAATTTACTACTGTGCACTAACATCTCCTTGAGTCACGTAAACATTATTAGCATACAGCCTGTAGTACACTGCATATTTCTTATTACAAGAAACTGGTGACAGCGCTTTAATGGAAATTTGCAGAGTTATTGTTGTTTTTATATAAATGTGCAGATTTCATATGCCTCTGATCGTGCAGGGTATGTATAGTGAAGACGGATAGAGGCAGACTGCCTAAGTGGTAAATACTGGAAACTGAGGAGCTTTGGATAATAATAAGTTCTTGTTGAGTAACAAACTAGCTCCCTGTTTAATAAGGAAAAAACAGTGTTAATCAAACAGCTGCTAATGGTTATCCCTACAGTCTTCAGGAAATCAGCATTCTATCTTCTGTTGCAGTTTAATCGGGATTTAATGTTTCTCTTTGATACTTTGTCAAGGTCTGATGACCTGCTCAGAGGCAGAGTAACTGTTAAATAGTCTCATTACAACAACATTAGCAGAGAATTTACATTTCCAGGCCTTCACAGAACTGTAGCCTGAAGTTTCTCAGAAGGCAAGGCAAGTGAGGATTGTGGCTCTTTTGAACATCTCAAGGTTGTAAGGTCTGCATTTGGGACGGTAGAGGCAGAATGTTTATGTAACTGTGAGGGCAGAGTGAAATGCAAACGTCCTTTCTTCTCTCTGCTGCTATATCTTACAGTCAAGAGAGGGAGCCTTGAAGAAGAGCTATTTCTATTATATTGAGCTGCACTGTATTGGTGGGAGAAGCTGATGTTCCAACACTTCATGTTCTAAGTCTTCATAACATTAAGCATTAAACTGGGTATAGATTTCCTGAAGTATGTGCATGAGATCTTGGTACAGTGTGTACATAGGCCTGTCTGACCACCTCACTGTTTCCTCTCCTCCTGTAGGGCATCAATATTGTGGAGCCAAGTAATGAAGAACTTCCTCCCCCGTCAAAGCCAGGAATGTATCAGCTGGACATTGTGTTGAAGAAGGGCAATAATCTGGCCATCAGGGACAGGGGAGGTATGTGCCCTTTTTACCACATTTATGTAACTTTTTTTTCCTGTGTGACCTGAATTTTCAACATTTCTGAGGTTCTGTTGAGCTCATTTTTTATTGTAGCATTTTGCCACCCAACATTAACTGTCAAAATTCTGCAGGTGACATTTAAATGAACTAGTTTCATTCAAAGAAGTTACTAATTAATTTGTAGGTTTAACAAAAGTCATTAAAAAAGGAAAGAAATATAGTTTGATGTTTACATTTTATATATATATATATAATTTTTTAAATAAGGCTTTGACTATTTATTTTGCTCTGGATTTTCCAGTGAAAGAAATCATTTTAACAAATTTTGAATAAACACTTAAATACATTTAATTCAATTAGCAAAAAAAAAAAAAGATAAAAATTGTAAGTATGTTTTCCACAGTGTCACTGTAAGCAAGAATAAATAATATTCCCATTTTAATTCATACCATACAGAAATTGTAAAATATTTTTACATAATGATGTAAATAAGTCTGACACATTCTTGAGTCTAAATTAGCCTAATGAATTTAGGAAAATGAATGGCTAATTAAAATGTATATTAAAATCAATGTGATATTCATAATGTTACTTAAAGGGATAATTCCCCAAAATGAAAATGGTGTCATTCAAAACCTGTATGAATTACTTTCTTATGTTGAACATCAAAGATGTTTTGAGGTCTGAATTTTGGGAGCCAATGTTGACAATGTTGATTTTGGATGAACTATCCCTTTAATTTTACACCTTAAGCAAAATCATAGTGAATGTTTGTAGCTTAAATCATAGTTTGAATCTCTAGCGCCCCCTTTTTGTTATGCTAGCATGAAACGTTTTCTAAATCTGAGAGAGACAATTTGCAGAGTGAACAAGCAAAAATAGTCAGGGCTAAATAGATCTTCTGCTCTGGCCAACTTGACTCATGTGCATCTCAGCAGACAACAGCAGAGCCTTGAGTTCACCAGAGGATGAGTCTACATTCCTGCTCGTTACTCCAGACCTGGAGAGTCATGTGAGAGGACGGGCATTCATGCTTTTGAATGGCAGAGGGACATGCTGGAGCAGTAATGGTCTCATTAGGGGCTGATGGATGGTGCAGCAGATCTGTTCATACGCCCTCTGTCTCTCTCTCTTTTTGGCTCTCCCAAATAGACACACACGCTAAAATAATGAGCGAAGACCTCGGCAGCTCACCTGCCCTCGAGACTCTGTGTGAGTCATACAGTCAGTCATACGCTCCGTTGAGAGAAATCCTGAGAAAGCCTTGAGAGGAGAAAACTCACGCTCTCCTCCACCTATAATAGAATCCTCAGTTGAGATTAAAATTATTCATCCATGTATTGTTTGAAATTTGAATAGCTAAAATTATACTTTGCATATATTTAGCAAGTTTTACTTTCAAACACAAACATTTCTCTGTTTTATCTTGCTTCTGCATTGACTTGCATAAATTAGCATTCCAATGTTTATCATCATTGAGCACCGAACCAGCACTCTCTACAAGTCGGTGACCACTGATGCTTTCCATTTGCACTGTGTGTATCTAGTCTAATTAAACAGGATGTGCTTTACTGGAGGATTTCCACATGCTCTGTGGTATTTGCAGCTCTTAGCTCAACCATGGGCCACAGAAATGCATGCTGGACTAGATTTAGGTCTTCCCTGTTTATAATAAATAATCACCATAATTAATTTTATTCTTTTCTTATACCTAATTTATAGCTAATGTAACACTGTGACCCTGAAAGGTCATAGTAATGCTAATGTTGCTAAAGTTTTTGTTGATTATATACAAACCACGGCCCAAAACACAGACCGGTTGTTCAGAACAGACACAGATACTTTCTATTCAGGAAATCTGACTGAATCCGAACAATTTAAGCAGGTTATATTCTGACATTTGAGATGTTGAATCTGTTCTTCGTACTGTAGATACATTTGCTTTTGAATGTGCCATACTGGAGTAAATGTGCTGCTTTTCCTCATGTAAATTAGATTTCATGTCAAAGGTTATACTAACTTTCAATGACCTAATCATAATCACATTTTGTAATTTTTGGAAGTTATCAAAAGAAAAAAATAACATATTTACAATTTTTTAAAAATGTACAATAAGTTTAATGGCAGTTAATGTACTGTAGCTAATATAATAAAGAAGGAAAAATGGTTAGCAGATGAATAAATGCTGTAAAAAATGCATTGATCTTTGTTAGTTCATGTTATCTAACAAACAAGATAACCAATGAGACCTTATTGTAAAGTGTTACTTAGCAAATATTTAGATATTAGTAAATATTTAAGCATTGGCAGTACTAACCTAATATTTTTCTGTATAGAAAATATGAAGGATTTACTACACTATAATGAAATATTAGAAGTTTGGGGTCAGTATGATTTGTTTTTTTAAAGCTGTGCTTTATGCTCATCAAGGCTGCATTTATTTGTAATATTACAAAATATTATTACAACTTAAAAGAACTCCTTTGGGTTTTTAATATATTTTAAAATGCAATTTTTCCCCCTGTGATAGCAAAGCTATCTATTAAAACAAAATATTACTGACCCCTAATTTTTGCACGGTAACGTATGTTGTTTTTAAAAACAAAACCAAAAAGTCGTTGAATAACTGTCAATGGAGAAATACACGCTTTATAGCCAGATAGCGTAGTTACACTGTCTGTTATTGCACTTATTCCTCTCATTTCACTGTCAGAAAGAAACAGACATGCTCTGAGAACAGCATGTGTGAAGAGAACACACAGTGGCAGCAGTGATGAATGACAGTGTTGAGTCTGTTCTTACTTTTAGGTTGCAGACTCTGTGTTCTGCTGGTTTTAACCTTGAGTCATGGAGGATTTTGTGTTTGTGTTTGTTAGGATGGTGTGGACAGCTTGGCAGAAACTGATCCAGGATTATAACATCAGGGATGTTGCGATGTTTCATTGTTTCCTGTTGTCTTTCTCTGGCATTGAAATCCATCCGTCAGCATCTGTTAATGATCTGATGTGTGTGTGTTTGTGTGGAGGAAGTGAAAAACATGCAAAGCATCTCTGGTGGACGTTTTTACTGTCCAGCAGCTCAGTTATTGCAAAATTATAAATGTAATGTGTGAAATTAATCAGAAAATGACCACTCCTGCTGAGTGATGGGTACTGGTATTGTAGAATGTTCCATGGACTCGAGACGATGTTGGAGTATTTGTTTGTTTTTGCAATATTACCCATACTGTGTTGAGCGACAGGGGTTGTTTTTATGAAACCACACATTCACACTCCTAGTATTATTGCTCATTATACTGCAGCGTTTCGTGACTTAACATTTGCATTTTCTGTCTTGCCAGTTTACCTCTCTCTAAAAACACGATCTTACTCACACATATTGAAATCGCTGCATTTATGGGCCATTTGGAAGCATATGGGTAGCAAAATTCATTTTGAAATATAATGAATTTATATTTCATAAGTTATAAGTTATATGTTATGTTATATATTTATAAGTTGAAAATGAAAGTGTATTTCCCAAATTGATTAGATATGTTTAACATTTCCAAGCCAAAACTGTAGCAAAATGATCATTTAAATGCTATTTTTCCTAAATACATTTAGACTTACGGGTAGGACACTTGAGATTGCATTTTCATTGTGATACTGCGTGATAATTGTAGCAAAATGCAGTGTGAATTTCAAAATGCATTCTGAGCCAAATGTGCAGCAAAATGGCTGCAAAAATGGTGATTTAAATGTCTTTTATTTTTCTTAAATGCATTGACACTTACACTTCAGACATTTCAATTGCATTTTCATTAAATACCACGCCATAATGTAGTTTGTCAATGTGGATTTGAAAATGCATTCCGAGCTGATCACGCCCCCAACCTGTCAATCATTTTATCAAGGCGGGGTTCGGCAACAAGACGCACAATAGGTCAGTATTCCCCATTAACCAAACGCTTTTCACCTGCCTCAACATCTCACTGTTTTACACTCCGATTGATGCACATAAACAGACAGTGCAATTCTAGACTTATTTACTTGCCACCTTACACCGTGGCTACCAGTGGTGTAATGTAATGAAGTAATAATACTTCGTTACAGTACTTAAGTATTTTTTAGGAGTATCTGTACTTAACTTGAGTTTTTTTATTTCTGTCAACTTTCACTTTTACTCCACTACATTTCCTAAATAAAATGTATACTTTCACTCTGATACATTTCCCCGAAGCATATTCGTTACTTACTACAAAATAAAGTCGGAATAACACAGACTGCAAGCAAGCAGGTTTGACGAATCAGTGGTCTGGCACTTGTAAGTTAGACTCCTAAAAACACCTTTGCTCATGTGCAAACAAGTGCGCGCAGTCGCGCACAACCGCGGATAATTTCATTTTCCACTCAAGTCGAGTCTGGGGTGTGTGATATACAGTATATCTATGATAATATGGTAAATGTTGTTGTAATGACGTGCGATCTGGCATTATCGAGTATATCACCTTCACCAAATCATTTATTTGTTGAGAATAAAGTTGCAAAATAAATTCATAATATTTTTTTACATTTTATTTGGAAAAATAAATCACATAAATTAAAAAAAGGAAGTGCTCTCCAATAGTAGAGCAGATGGTGGTTAAAAGATGTCTAGCTAACCCTAAGTCCATTTGGTATTTTATTCACAACCATATTTTTGATAAAATTGGTGGTCTTTCCTTCATATTGAAATGTAACTATCTACCCTCTCTAAGCCAGTGGTCACCAACCTTTTTAGGCCCAAGATCCCTGACCTCGGCCTTTATGAAAGACAAGATCTACCTATTGAAGAATTGATAGAAAAAGACATCCCAGATTGTACTTCAAATTTGAGGCCTTTTACTTAGTATTTTAATTAGTGATGCACAGATCATAGTTGATTCAGAATTCAGATTTTTTTAAATTTTTTATTTAACTAGCAAATTGGATTCTGATACTGATACTGATTTTTAAGCAAATTTATTTATTGGC